CCGCCGCTCTCCGCCCGCCGCCGCCGGCGCCCGGCCTGCCGCCCGCGCTTCATGGCTGCGCAGGAATGGGACTGGTTCCAGCGCGAGGAGCTCATCGGGCAGATCAGCGACATCCGCGTGCAGAACCTGCAAGGTAGGGGCCGGCCGGGGGAGCGCGGCGCGGCCCGGCCCCGGCCTGACCTCGCGCGGTCGCGACACCTGCCCCCCACCCCGTCCCTGCGCCCCCCGCGGACTGGCAGGGGCCCAGGGGGTGGGGCGGCGCACGTGTGCCGCGAGTGTGCGTGTGCGTGCGTGCGTGTGTGTATGTGTGTGTGTGAAGGGTGCCTTAGAGGGACGTCGCCACCTCCCTCCAGCCACCGCGGCGACTTTGGAGAAGTTTGTACTTGGGCTCTTGGGGGCGGTGGCCCAGGTTAGGGAGGGGAGGAGAGTGCAACTACGTGTGCGCGTGTGCGTGTGCTCCTCCGTGCACTTCCTGAGTACCTTCGAGGCCGGGGGCCTTGGATGGGGGGACGCCCCTGGAAGTTGAGCTGAAGCCAGGGGGAACAGAAGTGGTGGGGGCCAAGGGACCTCCCCCACCCCTGCGGACTGGGGACTTGGTGGAGCAGAGGAGCTGGGATCTCCGCTTCCTCACCGTCCCTGGTCCCCGAGACCAGGAGAAAGGAACTCCGCGGCCAGTGCCAGTGCGTCGCACACGGGCTGGGCCGCAGAAGAAGCTGTTTGTGTGGCTGGAGGATGTGTTGTGTGCGCACTTAGAAAGCACCGACTGCTAAAGGGAAAAAAATCACACCTGCCCCGAGTGCATTTCGGCCCTCTTCCCTGAGCCGACTTGGTAGAAGCGGCCTCCTCACCCACTCTGTCCCCTGTGTGGCAGAGAGCGTCTTGGTCCCAATCCCTGGTCGGCTGGGACTTCTGGGCAGTCCAAGGTTGAAGGGGCTGGACAACAGCTAGCAGGCCGGCCAAGGTGGTGGGACGTGGGGGCCCAGGCCTCAGCAGGTGTAGTGGCTTTGCTGCTGGCCGGCAGAGCAGCCCAGGGAGCAGGCTGGAGCTGGAGCTGGGGGTGGAGTGGTCAGGTTTAAACATTACACCTGATAGAATGTGTGCTGGAGCTCACATGGACCTGCTCTGCCCTGAGGCTAAGCAAGGACCTGCAGGCAGAGGTGACTGGCCCAGGAGCAGGGAGCCTCCTGGGGTAGGCACTGGGCTCTGAGTTTGCTGTGGGCTTCCCTGCTGTCTCCTGGCTGTGATTTGTGTCAAAGAAGAAGGGTTGGACTGGGCATGTTAAACGTGATCCCTTCTGATAATAAACTGAATCTCTGATTCCTATGGTTGGCAAAGAGCCAACACCCCGGACGTTACTTTGGGCTGTTGGGATGTGTGCTTGTGTGTGTATCTGTCCATTTCAGGCAGTCACCCAGTATTTAATGAGCACATACTAGTGCTTGTTGCAACAAGTTCCTTCAGTGCTCCAGCATCAGCTTCCACTTAAAGGTCAGTTGTTGTGAAGGGACACCCAGCAACGTGAGCCTCCAGTTAGACTATACAGAATGGGGGCAACTTGAGGTGGGTCCTGAGGGTTGAGTAGGAGTTGATGAGTGGGCTCTTCTCTTTCAGTTCCCAGTGAACTGACCTTACTTTTAGGCAAATTCAGTTATGATCTGAACACTGCTGGGCTTTGCCATAGGAAAAAATAAATTATGCACATGTGCTGTCCTGTGTATGTACTACACATGTGTGTAATGAACACACTGAAGTGTAAGCCCAACACAGGGAGGCATGGGTCCACCCAGGTCACTGTCCACCCGTGTGGATTTCCCACACCTGAGATGGTTGTCTTGTCTCCCCAGTCAGGACCCACAGTCCACCAAGGTGACCACTATTCTGAGCTTTCTTTGCTGCCGATTGGTTTGGCCTCTGGAGTTTGATAGAAAGTTGAGCGTGCAGTGCATCTTTGGTGGATCCACACTGTGCTGGTGTGATCTGTCTCTGCTTGTCTGCTTTAGTGGTTCCTCTTTCCTGCTGAGTTCTGGTCTACCACATGGATGGGCTGCTGTCTGGTGATCTGTCCATCTGTCGAGGGACGTTTGGGCCGCGTAGGCTGGAGATGCCATGAATGGACGTAGGGCATCGTCAGCGCTGTGGGGCGCCGGGTCGGCAGCTTTGCTATTGCACCCCTGTTGCAGAGAACAGAGTAGGAGTGGAGTGGAAGCTGTTTTCTCTTGATTTTCCCCTTGGTGCTTAACAGACACGTACCCTGCCCCCCTTGCGTCTGTGGCCCTCAGGAAGTCCCAACTAAAGGTTCAAGTCCAGAAGGTGCCTGGCGCCAAGCTCAGAGCGTCTGCAAGACCAGCTGGCAGACGTGGGCTGGGCAGATGCGTTTGGATGATCGGATGGGGGGCCACCAGCGGCATCTGAATTCGGGTAGGTGGCGCTTGGGGAGCGGGCTGAGCCCAGGTCGGGCTGCTTCATAAGCTTTGTGTACTCACAGCGCGGGTAGTCATGGTTGTGGTGATGGCCGGTTGGGTAGAGCGGGAGTTCAGGAATCTGTAATTGCGGGGTACAGGAGGACTCCGGGCCGGGATCTTCAGGCAGCTGCTGCTGACAGGGACAGGCCATCCTGATGCTTTGCAGAAATCTTGTCCTCTCTCCTGGTCCTGGACTCCTGGACGGGCAGTTCTGGGGTCAGTAATGAGAGGTGGCCCAGAGGTTACGGTCTCTGGGACATTGCATTTCTGGGAAGAACACTTTAGGAATAGATGTGTATCTCCCTATCTTGCAGTAAATCCGTCTGTTTAAACTGACTTGGAGCTCTGCTGGCCTACTCATCCAAGGCCTTTGCCTGTGTCTCCCTCAACCGTGGGGTTCTGGAATCCATGCGGCTGGGGTTGGGATTTGGGTGACCACACCCCTCCCTCCCCAAGGAGCGCTGGGATGAAGATCCCTGACTTGTTTGTGGGGGTCAGGTCAGCTGGACGAGAAGCATGGCCTCTCCCAGGAGATGTGTCACGCGGTCACTCACCCTCCTGGACATGCTGCAGATGGAGGTCTCAATGACAGGTTTGCATGCCTGGCCATAAAGATGTCAGCAAAGCAGGGCCTCTCTGGCAGGCGTGGCTGTCCCTCTGGGCACAGACTGCCTGTGCCACCCTCACAAGGTCCCTTGCAAGGAAACGGGGGCGGCCCAAGCTGCTGACCTTTTCCGAGAGCAGAAGATGGAATTGCAGGATGTCAGTGGCCTCCGCTTCCTTGGTGCCACGTGGGGTGGAATTGAGGTTAGGGGTATCCGGTGAGCTTGTCCGTGCCTCAGCTCCCTGCTGGGTGTGGACAGGGAGGATGGGCTCCAGTGTTCTTCTGAGGCCAAGGCCACTTTGCTGTCCTCTCCCTCTTTGCCGAGTGCCCCACTCATACTGGGCTCGCTGCGCTGCGGGGCAACGTGGGGAACCGGGCTGGGATTTAGAAGGTGCTCCTGTTCACTAGGGAGCCCCCGGGCCCACAGCGCTTCCCTGTGCAGCTTCACAGACGTGTGCCAACAGTGTCACACCTTGCAGACGCTGGGGATGAAAAGCTGGCTGTCGTCTCTGTCTTTAAGGAACACGGAGCTGTTGCGGGCATCTGGCCAGACTGGTTGCCTGACTCTAGTAGCACAGAGGGCAGCTCTGCTTTGGGCTTTTGAGGAGAGACACTCTCACTCTTGGCCCCTTTGGGCCTGAGCAGCTGGACTGGGCCGGGCAGGTGGAGGTGCGGGCAGAGCTGGGTGGGAACGGACAGACCTGCTCTTGGCCCGTGGCACTGTCCTGTGTTGCCGTCCACCCTCCTGGCTGCTGCTCCCCACACCACATTCCCACCCTCAGGATGAGTTTGCCCAGGTCATGGGCCTTGTGAGTGGAGCTGGGATTGGACCCCAGGTGACATGAGTAGCCCACGAGCCTCATGCCACGGGCACACAGGTGAAGGGCTATTAAGATCGCGGCAGAGCGCAGCAAAGGCCTCCAGGAGACAGCACACAGGACCTGGACACACTGAATCGCTGGACTATGTGTGAACAGGAGTCGTCGCTGGCTTGGCCCAAAGGCAGGCTCTGGGGTAGGAAGGCTCCGCACTTGCCCACCTTGCGTGTCTTCCTTCCCCGCAGTGGCCCAGGCCCAGGGGCAGGCCCTCCTCGTGCTGCTTGGACACTGAACTGACAGCTTCAGGCCCTGGGCCTTGCTTCACCTCCTCTGAGCCACCTACAACCCCACCCAGCCTTAGCACTTAAACGTGTCCCTGCTAAGCCCTTCAGCAGGGTGCGTGGTCTGCAGCTGACCTTCCCAGCCTCTGAGCTGCAGCGCAGTGTGGTGACCTGGGTAGCTCCTTACTTCACCCAGGACCAATAGTATCGTGGGCTGTGAATGCCGTGATGAGAAAAGCATTCGGTTGCCTTGGCCTGGCGTCGAGGCTCCTGTGATCTGGCTGGGGGTCTATGCCAGCCTTTGCCCCCCCACAGGTTCTGCCTCCCCTACCTCGAATCACTGCCCTCTCAGCTGCTCATGTCCTTGTCTCCAGACCTGTGCACACCACAGGGGGACCTGACCAGAGAAGGGACGGACTGAGGAGGGGACCTTTCTGTCCCGCCTCCCCTGGTCTTTGGAGAGCACAGTAAATGCACTGGGGACTCCTGCTTAAAACTCCAAAGTTTAAGCATAAAGTTAAAAGTTTGGATTTTTGGAGAAAATCCAGAGTGGAGGCTCCCAGTCCTCAAGAAACTACGCATTGGGCACTGCCCTGGGGCCCATGCCAGGCTCTTGGGGACGAATCATCATGTGTATGTTCCTTCCTGGCCCTGGCAGGTCAGGCCCCGGCTTCGAGTTCACTCTGGATTGCAGGTAAAAAGCTGTGCGGGAGGCAGATCTTTCTTGGGGGCTTTGGCAGGAAGAGCACTGTGCATTTGAGAGACCACACACACGACCAGGAAGCCAGGAGCCCGAGCCTGGGTCCTGCTTTTGTTGCAAGCCTTCTATGGGATCCTGGGAAATCCCTTTTCCTTTCTGTTTGTTTCCTACTTGAAAAGTGAGAGAGTTGGGTAATTGGGGGTCAAGCCCAGCCCCTGGGAAGGCGATGCGAGGAGTGGCAGGGCCTGGGCAGAGTGTGCCTACCCAA